ACTCTGACTTCAAAGCTCTGCCTCTTTGCAGCTAGGGATAGGATGTGGCATCCTGTGATCACCCTTCTGCATCTCTCCGAACCTCTGAGAGCTTCTTTCTGCCCATGTATGCCTCGGGCAACCGTGGTTCAGAGTCACAACGAAACTCCTTGAACAGCATACCAAGCTGATCGTCTTCCGAAAAAGAACCCCTTGGAACTGTGAACGGCAAAGGCCGATGAGCTTCCAAACCTGCAGCGTTCCTCCTGCACCTTCGTCACTTGGAGCACACATGTCATGCCTGGTGCCCGGCAGACACTGCTGCGTGGCGGGCACCTGCTTCGGCCACCTCTGCACCAGTAGGGTGGAACGAAAGCGCCGGTACAGTGGTTGGGTCTGTACCGGGTACAGACCCAACCAACTCTGAAGAAACAACCGAGCATTCCTACAGCGCCTGGCAGCTGTTACAGCTGGGAGAGCTAACGTTCAATGACAAATCGAGTGCTTGGCTGCGTTTTGGAGCACCCATTTGAATTAGTGGGTCGGGTGGGAATCGGGGTTTGATGCGCATGATGGGCATGGCTGCGTCTTCTGCACGCAGCGTCGGGATGGCGACAACCTACTGAGGCCGTCAAGCGTCCACTCCAGCTTTTGATACATCTCAGGCTTGGTGGGTTCCAAAAAAGCCCTACGCCCTGCCGCACATACCTCGGCCACAGTGACTAAGACAGGCATGGACGTCCGGCCTGATCTCCAAGCTCACGGAAGATGCTTATGGCCTCCTTGGAGGCACTGAGTGCCTGAGAGAGCCGTCTCAGCTGCTGGACATGGAAGCTTCAGAGCTCCAAAAGCTGTGTACCAACCAGCCATTGAGGCTGATGTGCGTTCATGTCAATACATGTCAATGTGTCAGCTGCTCTCAACCCTTCTTTTCCCTGAGCAAACACCCGCCTCAACGTGCTCCTCTCGTGCCTGCTGCACCTGACCAGAAAGGTGCAGTAGTTTGCATAGACTCGGCACCCTGGTGCCTACCTACAGCCCAGATGAGTCTGCAGTGCTACCGTGTGGCTTGACTCTGCTCCAGCTGAACTGAAATCCTAGACTTGAGCACTGCTATTGGAAATTCGGAACCGAGTCTGAGTGGGAGCACATGGGAGCTTTGTCACCCCCTTCTGCAGAAAAATCGGCCCTTGCCTGGGCCAAAGACTCCAGCGCGTGGCCCTCGAGCTTCCGCTTTCGGGACCTCCGCGCGACCTTGACGGCCTGGCACCCGAAGCTGCTATTCGAACACTGCTTCGCTACAGTTCTTCCACAGCTTGTTTTCTGACATGGGCACGCACCTGTAGCATACTTGCCTGGAGGCTTGCATTGTTTGTGATCGAATGAATTCTGAGTTTTGCCAGCAGGTTCACGATATAGTTGCTGTGAGCCATTCCAGGACTGCTGAGCCGGGCTGGCGCTCTGCGATCTTGAGATGAGCAGAAGCGTCTCAAGGTGTGGACGCAATGTCTTAGAGTCTTAAAATGCCTTGCAGTGCCTTGCAGCACGGAGCAACCTGTGATGATGGAGCCTCCCCATGTTCTTGGCGAGTGCATGCCACTTCTCCCCTTTGCCCAGGTTCAACCAACTTCCTGCCCATCATAATTCATTGCGTCGTTCTTTGCCTGACCAAAGCTCGATGGCTGAAGGTTGAAGGTTGAGCTCAACTTTCACTTATGTTGCCCATGAACCTAAACAGGTACCCTGTTCTGTTTTGCTTAAGACATGGGATCTGATGCCACTCTTGATTGCGACCAAGAGCCGACGACAACTCTGAAACCGATGACACGATCCGTTGAACTACGCAGGGAAGTCCCTTTAAAGTCCCCCCACGATTCCGAACTTCGTCCTTTCTGAACCCAGGATTCTCTCCCTGCAGCTGGGGGGACTTTCGTCCCAAACCCTAAACCCTTTGTCCGGCCTCTCCAAGTAAGCCCTAAGCCCTTTTTGCATCCAGGTCTCTTGCAGCCGGCCGGGTGAGAGTTAAGTCTGAGGCCCTAAGCCCCTGTTTGCATCCAGGTCTGACGCCGGCCCCAAACCCTAAACCCTAAAACCCCTAAACCCTAAACCCTGAACCGTCTTTGTCAATCCTTGCCTCTTGCGCCAGTGGCAGCGCTGAGTCGGGAGCCTGGCGCAGTAATGCTTGCTGCTGGTGGCTTGGGTCGGGGCGCGGATCCCGAATCGTCCCTATATTCTGAAGCATTCAAGTATATATATATATATATATATCATACCAATGAAAGAATATATGTATACATATATTTATTTTTTCTTACTTTTAAGTTATTTATGTGCATATGATCGAATATATATATATATATATATATATATTTAATGTTAGAATATATGGGGGTTTGTGATATTGGGGGCACCTTCTTGGGGTCCTTGTTAAAGGGAATCCTACTATTTGGGGGCCTCTTTTGGGCAAACCTGCACATGCACATTGTATTTCCTTGTATGTGGTAAAACATCAGCCATGTGCCTCGCAGCCTTGCAACTCTCACAACTCCTCTGGTATAGAAGGCCAGCCGGCCAGCCTCAACGTCGAGGTATGCCTGAATTTGCACTTCCAACCTCGGAGAAAACTACAATGTGACCCAGGCGACCGCATTTGGTACAGCATTGCTTCTATCTAGCAAAGTGCAACGACTTATTTTTTGAGAAGCTCCTCCGGTCATGTGCCGCCCGTCTGCTGCGAAGCTCTTGAGCCCCCAAACTCCAAATCGCATATTTAGAAGTATGTGTATAGACCTTCTACACTGGAATCCATGTACCGAGAGCTGGACATCTCCAGAAGGTTCTCTTGGTCCCCTTCCTTTCGCCACCTGCTGGCCTGCACAGGACTTCAACTCTTCACGCGCTGTGGTGCATCAGCGGCAGGTATTCGAAGCAACCCGTGGACTTGTCTAAACTCCCGCGTTGAGAACTGCGCAGCAAGCATGGTTCGGTTTTGGGGTGTTTGCATTGGCTTTGCTGTTGAAGATTTCGCCCTGATATAGCTGGGTTTATGGATGTTCATTGGGCTACCCTCCCTCCTGCCATGTTTGTTGCCAAAACCACGGAGGTCAGACTATCTTTGCGGAGCTGATGACAATCTGACAATCTGGGAGCCCCACTGCTTCGGCAGCCAGCGTGATGGCTTCGTCAATCCTAGCGCGCTGGAGCTTCTCAGAACTGGGGGGGGGGGGGGTGGTACCTGCAAGGCTGAAACCTCACAAGTCTGCGAGACATGGACAGACAGACATACATGTCTCGCATATATATATATACACACAGCTATACATAAACAGACATGTGCAACATGTTATGAAGTTTGCCGTAACTGCGCCTTCATCTAACCTCTCTGGGAGGCAAGGTTGCAGGAATTAGAATGAAAGACATTGTACAACCAGTCCCATCGTTCTTGCCATCAAGACACTGTTGCCTGTTGGGGATTGCGACAAAAAAGGTGAACTGTTTCACATGCTTTAACCCCTGCAGTTGCATGTGAGTCACCTCAAGCTGGGCAGAATCTGAGCAGTTGGCTCTTTTAAGGTGATGTGCCCGCGGACAGCGTACTTGGTGGCCTCAATGTGGTCGGGGGCCCCTTCCGGCGATCATACCATCATAAGCAACACAAAAAAACATTGCATGAAGCGCCACATTCCTTTCAAGACCGTGTTGTGCAGCCTAGTCATCCGACCTGCGATGATGTAAGGGGTACCACGGCCAAGTATGTTTCATGCGCGCGTTATCTGATCCGAGCTCTGCACTGCCACCATTCGTCCTGACATCTCTGCACGATCTTGCTTGTTATAACAGGAAAGCCAAACAAGCTGAGGTAGTCCTCTCCCCAAAAAAGGTATGGGGTATCACCCCTTTCCAGTTAGACTCCCATCTTCCCTTTGTCAGACTGCAAACAAGCGACGTCTGTCATTCAGCTCTTCCAAGATTCCCAAGGCCTGGCGTGTAGCATAAGCCAGGCTAGATTGGTCAAGACTGCTCAGGCTAACCAGGCGGTTGTGGGCACACGTGCCACCCACAGACCCACAACTCTCACGTCCGGCAGGCTCACCCTACTCAAGTAGCGGAATCCTGCCGGCTACATAAGGCTGCCCTACACGAACACCCCGAACCTCTCGGACAACACGTTGCCGGCCTTGGTGGCAGACTCAATGGCTTGAGTGGCCATCTCCTGCAGGGCGCACAACCAGCTAGTCTCCTGCAGTGATAAGTTGAGTACCCTGTCACAACAGTCCTGAGATCGCCCATGCAGCTGCAAAAGATCAAAATTCCCAATCAACAAAAACTTTCAAGCAGCATCTGACTGCAGAGGTCGGCACAGACGGATGGGTGCCGAGAGGGGCCACCAACTTAAACCTACCGAACTTCCAAGAACCTGGCCGCTAAGGTGCACTCAAGAATGCTCTCCGAACATGACGAACTTTGTGTGGACCCACCCTATGCTGCTTTGCTACCTGAAGAAACGGTGGTGTGGTCATTGACAGCCCCTGCCCCCCTTGCAAGAGCCCTTTTGCATCGGGCATGGTGCTCTCCGCGGCGGACCTGCAAACACAAAGTGGGTCGAGAGCACAGTCTTCGTTGCGGGCAGGGCACGTGGTGATTCATGACAGTGACTACAACGTTGCGGAGAAATGTTGGGCATCGTCGGGCCAGCAGAGGGCCGCGACTTAGCAGGGCACTTGAACTGTGCTCTGGATGCTGGGAACTCGAGTTTCTAGAGGCATACTCGTCTACACTAGTGTACACTTGTGCACTGTGACGCAGAAGTACGTGCGTATACTCAGCGCGCACGAAGATCTGCAGGCCAAGCATGCCCCGGCTCAACGCTACGTGAGCAAAACCAGAGAGACTCTTGTGCTGGTGCCTGAGCGCGCAAGATTCCAAACCCAGGGACATCAGCTCGGCCAGCAAGGAAATCAACGGCCTTCTGACAGGGAAGGGACAGGTTGCTATTTCCTTCATGATCATTTTCTGCAAACTCATCCTCTCTCCATCGCTGTTCCCTTCTCGCCGTACGCAGACGGTTTGAACCATCTGCTGAGTGTCAAATGCGGCGGAGAAACTGAACGACGACTGTCGAAAAGGAGCACCCTCGCCCCCGAAGCGGACCTGCTCTGTGCTGCTTGCTCCACCGCAGCAGCAGAGAACGCCAAGGCCAAGGCATCTACGACCACCTCGATGGATATCGAATTTGGGTTCTAGTACGTTTAAGTTTATAAGGCGTGTAACTTTAAAGCGGCTTAGTGCTGCGTGGACCAGAGCACCCAGCCGCGATCCGGATTGAAAAGATCTTAGAGCACCTTAGAAGTCTCTTACTACTCTATGCCCTGACATAGGATCCTTCTGAGCAAGCCTTCCAATCTTATGCCGTCATGCTTGAACCTGAGAACTTCACCCAAACTCCCTGATTATTTCAACCAGGCCTCCAGGGTCTTCATAAAGCGAACAAACCCAAACTAAGGCCGTGCAAAGGCCTCTGTCAGTTTCTGGTCAGCCCAGTCTTATGAACCCAGAGCTGCGGGCTATTCTCAGTACACTGGACGGAATTTTGCTGTTGGGAGTTGGGCCATGTTGTATTGGACCAACACGAAACTAAGCACATCAAAATCTATCACCACAGAACTCGGAATCTTGGCCTCCGCAGCACGAGCCACAGAGAGGAGGGCCGCAGCGCGGAGCCAGCTTCCCTCAAGGCAAGGCCCGAAACCTTGGAAGGCGAGTCTTTCTCAGGGCTCCTTGGCGGAAGCCCGGGCACTCTGGCCGTCTTCCACGAAGCTTCCATGGCAAGCTGCAGCTCCCGCGACTTGACTGCGTTTCGTGTGCTGGCCTGATTGCGTCTGCAATCTTCGGCCTAGATCTCTGGGACAGAGGCAGAGGAAAGGTGAAGCACTCTGGCTTGGGCTTGGGCTTGGGCTTACAGGTGTCCCTTTCTTCTGGCTGCCCTTGCCCCTAAACAACCTTGAACCGTACACTCTGTAAACCTTAAAGCCCAGCGACTCGACTCGCTGACGGCGGTGCGGGCGCCGAGCATGGAGGCCAGTACCTGCAGGCTTCAAACGCAAAAAATCCCCTACATAATCCCTATGTATACAGTCTATAGTCCCGATATACCTCATATCGTCCCTATATACCTTATGTAGTCCCTATATACCAAGTAGCCCCTCATAACCCCCCAATAACCCCTAAGGTCCCTTACAAGGAATGGCCAGAATGACTAATAGCCTGTACTTGGAGGTTCATGGGTAGCTGTAAGTAGGGTTACAAGGAACCCAAACAAGGTTCTAAGTTATAAGCAGTTATAGCTATAGTCTATAGTTGCCCTACTTATTGCCCCACTTATCACTACCCATGAACCTCCAAGTAACCGTGTAACCGTACGTTTCTAGTCAGACCCGCGGATAGTGACTGGCCCTTTGTCTTGGACCAACCCATATATCTGCTCCGCGTTTTCTATCAACTCAGAATCAACTCCATCGTTACAATTTCAATCAACAAGCTCTTGGGTATTAGTCTTTCAAGAACCCAGTGCCCTGGAAGAGGCTGAGGTACGCCCAAAAAACCGAAGATGAAGCTAGGCAGAAAGGAATGGACTAATCTGCAATGCCTCCGAAGGTGCTATTGGGTAATATTTGTTATCTGGCTTCGTCCTTGGAATCCCCGGAAATCCCCGAAACATTAACCCCAGAAAGACCGAATATCCACAACCGAAGCATTGCTTGGTAAGAGATTCTATGGTGACTTTCTTAGTCATGCTTGGGGGTATGTTATGTTGTTCTAGGGTCTCCAAAAGCAGGGCTGACATTGCGCTGCATCACGGAACAATCAGCACGGAGATTCGAAGCGAGAATGCGAGGCGCACGCACGCACAGACGCAAACATCGGGAAAAAGGAGGACCACCGAACACCAATCGCGGACCTGCAAGGCCGGACGCCACTTGCTGGCTGCCTGTAGAGCGCTGAGGGCCTCAGGACGCTCCAAACTCATTCTGGACCCTGGTTCCATGCTATTTAAGGGGGCCCGTTTGGAACCCCAAGTACATGTCAATGCAAACAAAGGAATGAGTTCGGAATGAGCTCTACATCCGCCAGGCATAAACGGCCAACACCCTGGGTAGCTGCTCTGTGTGTGTGTGTGTGTGTGTGTGTGTGTGTGGGTGCGTGCGTGCGTGCGTGGGTGCGTGCGTGCGTGCGTGCGTGGGTGCGTGGGTGCGTGGGTGCGTGGGTGCGTGGGTGCGTGGGTGCGTGGGTGCGTGGGTGCGTGGGTGCGTGGGTGTGTGCGCGCGCGTGTGCGTGTGGGTGTGGGTGTGGGTGCGGGTGCGGGTGCGGGTGCGGGTGCGGGTGCGGGTGCGGGTGGGTGTGTGTGTGTGTGTGTGTGTGTGTGTGTGTGTATAGGGGCCTCAATATCAAAAGGTGCGGCCATGAACCGGGTGCCACAACTATAGGCCCAAACCCAAACCTGCCTAAGCACCAGCGTGAGTCGCCGGCCCCGTTGTAGCAGATTGGGTCCGGCACAATGTGTCGCAGCGGGAGCCAAGCCTCAAATAGTCGGTTCACCCTGTACCTCCATATGCCCTTCTGTGCTTATGCGCAGCACAACTACGTTTGGCCAAAGGGCGAACAGCAACGAGGACATGATCTCCCAGCGACCTTTTCGCTCCAGGGCCTGCTGGCAAATTCTGAAGCTCTGCAGGCCCAGCTTCAGGGGGGAATGCGTTCGAGTTTAAGATTGTGTTGGTAATTCCTGCAGCGTGCCCAGCAATCAGACTGCGGTTCGAACTTCACAAGCAATTTTGCATGAACAGGCATTGCCTTGGTGACAGTGGCGGCACTGGTTGCGTCCGCACGGCAACTGTTCAAAAGCAATGATGCTTGCCTCGGCGCGCTGGCAATGGTGTTGGAAACGGATTGCCGAGCATATTTACACGACATCTATCTTTCTGTAAGTACTAATACACTCAATAGACAATGAAAAGATCTACATGTACATATGTATATATATATATATATAACCTTGTATTTGCATTTATATGTTTCTTTGTAATTTGTTTACATGGCTGCATGCATGCACAACGGCGTAAGACTTTTATATACATATACATATATACATATATAATATAAAATATATATATATATATAATATATACATATGTATATATATATATATATCCACACATATTCGTTCTACAGCGGTACATACCGCCATTGCTCCAGTGTTGGGCCGTCGAGTCTTGCCTGCACAGACCTAGCTAGGTAAGCCTGACCTACAATACGGCAACAAAACCATTTGGCGCCAAGTATCTGCTAAGCGCGAAGTCTAAGTCACTAAGTCACTGAGCATCTCTTGAAGCAACCCAGGCGTGCTGTCAAGCTGCTGCCAGCACGTTCCCCTTGCACAGGCTTGTAACTGCGAGTTGAAGCCTGGAACAGGGAGGCAGCTCGCAAATGTCATGCCTCTTCCTTGTTGCCCCTGACATGGGTATTCCCAAGGCAGGGGTACCCCTTGTATAGGGTACCCCTTGTATAACCAACATAGAATAGAACCATACCCCTTTTGTTCGGAAACCCCCACATGCACGCAGCATCCTGGTAGCTACCGTCGGTACGTCTTCCAGCTGCCGGGGAACTGATCAAGCTCGACCGCAGGCTCAGGTGGCACAAGCCAGTCAACACCTTCGGTCTGGTAACAGAACCACAAGTTGAGGTGAAGCTTCTCTGCAAATACTGCTGTGGCATCCCAACATTAAGATTATCGACCCCAAGGCGAACCGTCTGGCTGCCTTTTATTCTTAGATTCAACATGCTGCAACATTCTGTTGGCATTGCTGGAACCTGCCCCGCCAGCTCCCAGCAACCGCAGCCCTCACAGGCATTTGCGGCGGAAGTGAAGGTCACAATGCCTGCCCAGGCCATGCGGTTTTTTCGTGGCTTGCAAAGCAGAGTGCAGCGAGGTGGGTGCTTGTGGAGGTGGATGAGGACTACAAGCTACAAGTGGGAGAAAGCACACATCGTCACATGACAATACCATCTCCTCACGTCACAAAACAGCAAAGTGGGCCAAGTTGCTACGTCGGAGCCCGGCTGCTGCAGCTCCAGCAGCCGCAGCCAAAGCGCTGAGCCAGCAGCGCCCTCTCCTCTCAGACTGGCACATGCAGTGTCCAGGCGCACTGCAATACTTGTGTCTACTATATACACTTTAGTCGCTGCTGTACTATATACAAGCTTACTGCAGCAATTGCTGCAACGTACTTAATTAATTAGTCACTACCTACTACTTAACTGCTTGTAACGAGCCGACCTGTGTCTCTGAAAGTGGAGAACTGGAGCACTGGACCGAAAGTCTGCGCCGCTGAGCCCGAGCTTCCACACGCCAAACTATGCCGAGTGTGCGAGTGAGCGGCTCGCACGCGTGGATGAGGCTGTTGTAGCTGATGGTGTTCGTGAGGGCCTGCTGTGACACGCATCCAGTTCTCTCTCCCAAAGTTCAACTAGCGGAGTGACTCGTGTCCCCATCCTGCTGCCGGGCTGGACAGTTTACATGTTGTCGATTCCTGCTAGATGCGGGACTTTTTTCAAAAACCAGCAAGCCAAGTTTGGGGCTGGGTTTATGGATGCCACTCACATCTCGTGCCTGCATCTGCCGGCCATATCCTGAGCATCCGAGCCAATCTACTCTGTTTGGACCTGCTCTGACTCTTCACGGGGCCGATGCCCAAACCCATCAACCAGTTCCCGCCCGAGAAATATGGCCTTTGCATGCCCTTGCCAAAACTTTATACTCCAAAAGTCCAGGGGGCGCAAGGCGGCAGAAGCCTTCACCCAAGAGCTGCGGAGCGCACTCAGCAGGGCCCCTAGGCCCACCATGTCCTCATGGAGAACAGCGAAATGATTCAACCGATGGGCATAGCCGGCACCATTTGACACGCAAAGTTTCTCAACGGACTTGCCCAAACTGCGAAGGGCAAGAGGGGGTAGATCGCTGAAGCCGCGCGGCGCGGCCGCCGGTGCCTGCGGCCCGCGCTTTTTTTGAAGCTTACTTACTTGCATTCTGGAGAGCAAGGTCGTGCTCTCGCCTAGGCGCGGGCATGGCTTCGCTCGCCGTCCTCGAAGCTGCCATCGCTTCTCGACGTCTGTGTTCCCCCAAATGCGAAACTGGAACTGTCATGGCTTTTGGACCTCTCGGTTCACATGGTCGCTCACTGTTTGGGTGGCATAACATCAACAAGGCTTCCTTGACATCAGGCGGTTTAGCTACAAGTGATTCCTTCCTGTTTTCGCGACCCTTACAGCTTTGAGCTCATTCTGCAAAGTACTGTCTGTCTCCAACTCGCAAACTCCACTCCTCCCTCAACATCCAGAGGTTGCTTCAGCCAGAAACTTCCACTATAGACTCTTGCCGGGACAGGTGATGGCTGGGCTGCAATTCCCACGTCAGTCCAGATCATCACGATCCCACGCCAGCTGCAAGGCTGCCCTCCACTGACCAGCCTGGAAAACGTTACAGATAGGTTATATGGCCGCATAAACGTTGCCCTTGAAGCGACTTTTACACGATACCTTGGATTACCTGTTGTAAGAACCCTAAACCCTAAACCCTAAAATGTAGGCAGAGAAGGCCTCTTCGCAGCGGCTCATGGCCTTGATGGCTTGACCGGGGCATGTGGCAGTCCAAGGACTTCGAAGGGTTTACCTGCAACCCCAACATTGATTAACCTACAGGCTTGTAGAAATTACCCCCCAGAATTCATAGGGTTAGTAGTGTTTAATTACCTACAAGTTTGTAGTAGTAACTTAGTAGTAAGCCCTGAGTTCATAGGGCTAGTAGTAATTAATAGGTATAACACATCACACCGTAGGTCATTGGGGCTAAAGGTAGGTTCTCTCCGATGAATTTCTACAGTACATGGCAGCGAAGCTGAAGGATGCCTCTTGGCAAAGCCCTCAGCTTGGATCTGCATTAGGGTTTCGCTCGCACAAGGCAGGCAAGGTCCGTCGGTAGGGTTTAGGGTTCAGGGTTCAGGGTTCAGGGTTCAGGGTTAAGGGTTTAGGGTTTAGGTGCAGCAGAGCAGAGAACCGCGAAACCCCATAAAGCCCTAACCCTAAACCCTCATGCGGTCGAGTCTCTGCATTGCAGATGACCTCAGGAACAGGTTTCGAGTCAAGCGCGTCCGACACCCGAGATCCATCCCAAGAGCCCTTTTCAAAGTCCAAAATAACTGCATAATAATGAGCATATAAGCAACAACATCGTCATATAGTAATGGAGTAACCTAGTAAGATGGTCATACAGTAAGGTCGTTCTGTAAAAATGAAATAATACAGAATACAGAGCAAAGTAATATAGTCATACAGCAATATCGTAACAGAGTAATATGGACATGTATAGTGATGTGCTAATATGGCCTGTGGCCCTGACTGAGATTTACGGCCAGGAGCCTGCCCGCAGCCCGGTATGGCGCGCAGTGCTGCCGCCCAGTGCGGTGCGGCAGGGATAAGTGCCCCGCGGCCTGCGACTCATCAGAAGACCCAGAAATAACCCTCAAGGAATATAGACCTTATTTCAACAATCCTTGTCTCATGTAGTTAAAGGGATAATCAAAGGTATACGCTGATTCATCATAGGGCAGTGGGCACTCTGGATGTTGAGACTTCGGCTTGGAGTGCGATTTTAGGGACGGGGTTTTGAGCACAAAAGTTATAAAGAGGTTCAGCCAGCAAGGAATACAGTATGAAACTAAACAAAAGCAGAAGAAGACTCCAAGCATTCTGGGTGCTGCTGGCAGGCTGATCTCATTTGGCACCAGACCGTTCTTGCTGATCTCCTGGCAGGCGAATCAGTTCACGGGTCGACGCAACAACCAACCCTTCAGTCGCATCTTGTTTGGGGCTCAAGGCTCCGCAGGCTACGGGGCCTCTACTTGAGATGGGCGCTGCTTTAGACAGGACCTACATGCTGCCGGCCCAGAAGTAGCAGCAACGGCACAGTCAGAGCAAAAGCGACACCAAAACAGCTGTGGCCAATCATGGTTGCTAGACGCCGCACCTGAAAAAGTGAAATTGCGCTGGTCCACCGTCGACCTGGGTGCAATGTGGACAGCCATAACCCCAAACTCCCTAAACCCTCATTCTTCAATCTCGAGGTGCCTTGGCATTTGGGTGCCTCATGCCCGAGGGCCTAGATCCAGCCATTGCTGGCTTTCGGACGCCGTTCATACTCGCCATGGTCGAATATCCCCCCTTATTGGCTTGCAAGGCAGAACAGGCTCCAAATTGAATCCGAAGAGTGGCCTTTCCCGCAGGAGTCGATCAGAGTGTTGTAGCAAACGTTGTTTGACTGGATGCTGGTCTGGCAGAGGTCGTTCCTGTTTTGCTGCATTGTAATGAGTCCAGGTGATGCTCTGCTAGCCTCTGGAACTGGCTTCAAGCTCTTTCGCTACGCTGGTTGATGGCTCCAAGCCGCGACTGGTCACTCAGCTGAACAACTGCAAAGCAATACCTGGGAAATGCCGAAATCCAAAAAGCCTGATGCACGAACATGCCAACGACCCGTGCTATTGGCTGTTTGCATTCTGACTAATTATTGATCATGCTGCTCGACAGTCTCCCTAAACCCTGAAACCACCTACATGCCTAATTAACCTGGCCAAGCTTCAGCAGACTCGTCGCCAACTGCCAGGCACTTTCCCGGCCTGCGCCCGCGATGACCGCACCTTTCTCAGCGCAGCTTGCCGCGAGCATCGGTTTCGAGGCTGCTTTTGGGAGTAACAGGACTCGACATGTTTTTCCCATGTCTCGCTGCAAATTGGGATCCGCCGTGATTCTCTGGTGTGTGAACTCCAGGCCTTGTCAGGGACAAGGTGTGAAGGGTGCATATACGGTGGGGTGATTTGCAGCCCTTGGGCCAGGACATGGGTCTACTTCGTAATTGCGTGCAGCTGCGTAGAGCTCTCTTCTCTCGTCTGGAAACAATACAAAGCATTGCACAACCACTCTACTCAAAGCTCGAATCCGGATTGCACAGCCACGCCACCGTAGTGGTAAATGTTCGGCTCCTGTCCAATCTCTAGTCGGATTCACTTGCAGCTGCTGCACTGCTGCTGAAAGCACGAAAGAAGTAGCTGCGTATCTCAGTGCGTTCCTTGCCATCCACTATATGGTGTTCAAGCACAGCTCGCAAGCGACTGGACAAGTCGTGGGAGTCGGTAGGCTGTCGGTAGGCCCCCCACTCCACTTTCGACAGTGGAATCATGTTCCGGCCAAACCACTGCCCTACAGACATTGAGCGCAGTTCAGCATAAACCGCCTGGGCCGTCGCGCGGAGTGCCCGCAGCGTTGCGGCAGTGGTCGCCGGCCGACCAAGCGCAGCGGCGCGCAGCAACTGCGAGGGCTGTACCGGCTATACTCTTCGGCAAGCTAGCCGTCGCAGTTCACAGCACGGTATCCCTGTCACCGAATGCAGATGCAGGAGCAGAAAGTCATGGCCACTGGATCCTGTGCAATCCCAAGACCTGTGCTCAGGCACGGACTACACCACATTATCGCGAGGGTCTTCTACAGATTCTATATTGGGGCCGGCTTGGAAGCCCTCGTCACTTGTAGACTTCCCTCATGCAGCAATCTCACAATCAGAGAGCCGGCCTTAGTGAGCTTCTGGGGTGGCAGCTTCTGCGCTGACTGCGTCGCCAGGCCTTGCTCGAAATTTGACCCCACGGAGGCTACAGGATGAGGAGATGCAGCACAACTGGTAAGTGGGCCCCGGGTTGATTAGAGCGAACCCTCTTCCGCCCTCGAGGGTAATTGAATGGGAAATTCGACACTCGAAATTCGACTGATCCGAACCGGCCAGACTGCAGCGTGATTTCAGAAGCAAGCGACACGGTGAAAGGTGTTGTGTAACACGTTGACTCACTTCCCTACCGATGAGGCCTTGCAGGGCAGCATGCCAGGGACCATCCGCCGGCGCCATTCCAGCATTCTGCCTGTGGCATGCGTTTGTGACTTCGACAGCACGACTTTGCATGGCTTCAGCGCGTATCTTGGGGCACTGCTCGCGCCTCGGTGTTCGGGGTTTCTCTATTTCTCTTGCAAGCATTGTTGGCACTGCAAGTTCAAGAGCCGCGAGTCTGCCTCACTTTGAGTTAGCTCCAGTGACGCTGGGGAGAAATAGCAAAATCGTGTGCTGCTGTTTTTCGGCTCTTTGGATGCGGAGAACTGACTGTGGCAGCTAGGCCTTTGTCGCCAGGCATTGCGCGCGGAGCCAAAGCACAGGAGAGAAACTTACGTCGACTTTGAGGGGCACAGAGTGCATGCGGGCCTATAGCTGCGGCACGCTTGTGCCAATATATGTGCATGACCTAGCAAGCCCTGCAACAGAGCGGCCCTGCAAACATTAAGTTTAGGTAGAGTCTCTGTTCTTTTGCAAGGACAGGACTTTTGAGCCAATGCAATCGTGGGGTGCGCCATTGCAACATCTAGGCAGTGTCAGGAAAACTGCGTGCATGGGCTCTCACGTTGGCCATAGATGCTATGTCATGTAGCCATGTCTAGCCCAAGTTGCGACCCTGGGATCTCAACAAGTCCTCCTCGGCATGCCATCTTGCTATGGACAGGTGCTCAATGGCCTCCAAGCAACACAGCCAGGAGCACTTGCTCTGCCATCTAGCGCTGCTTGCAGAGCTCCACCCCAGTACAGTGTGCCGAAGCCTCTTGCCGCCGGAGCCCGAGCTCTGTCCAAATGGCTATTGCATCATCTGCGGCCTGCCATGAGACATGCAGACCCAAAGCGCATGTCGTTTTAGGCTGATCTCAAGGCTGATCACAACAGGAATACTCACAGGAACAACATAGAAGGGCACGGCATGTTGTGCCAGGTTGATTTGGGGAAGGTGCTGAAGCAAATCCGGGTTGTTTTAAAACAAATCTCGGGTTGTTTGAAAGCAGCTGCTGCTAGTGGCGGGCAAGACAAGCCTTTGCGTCAACTAGCCGAAAACAGCACGACAGCGCCTGCTTGCCGCCTTCCATCTGGCGGTTGCCAAACCTGGCCTCCGCTAGAAGGTGCAGGGCGCGTGCCTGCTCAAAAAGACTGCACATGCATCATGGACGCTTTGTGGGATCGTATACATTAATCCGCCGAGGCCTCGGGCCGAAGGTGTATAGGTTGTCAGAACAGGCACCCCCCTCCAAATCCTCCCCCCAAATGGGTACCTTCCTAGGAGAGCAGGCCGCCAGCGGATTTCGCCAGCACCAGAGGCAGCCGCAGCCCGCCCCCCTCCCCCCTCCCCCCGCCCCCCCCCCCCCCCCCCCCCCCCCCCCCCCCCCCCTCCCCCCCCCCCCCCCCCCCCCCCCCACAACCCCCCTCCCCCCAAAACCACTACAGAACATTGGTGAGGCTCAACTGCTGTGAGCACGGCCTGGGATGCATTACACGAGCCGAAGAATCTAAGCTTGAACCGAAACCCTAAACCTTAACCGAAGCACTCAACCCTCAAACCTTCAACAAACCCCCCCCCTCCCACCCTCCCCCTGCCCCCCCTTCCCCCCCCACCCCCCCTACCCCTGATGGGCTGGCTCCACCCTACGATTCTTGAACCCCACACCCAAAAAACCCTAAACCCCAAAGCGTGAACCTTGAGCCCTAAGCCCTCAATCCTCAACTAACCCTCAACCCTAAACCCCAAACCATAAACCATAAACCCGGAACCCTAAACCCTAAACCCTAAACCCAACCCTTATTGCTTGGGGCCCAGCAACTTGGGCGCTGCGGAATCACCATGCTCACGCGGATGCGCTGGGCCGGGCCGAGGCGGGTCGCGTAGCGTTAAAATTACTGGAACTTGTTATCTTAAGATGTGAAGGAGCCTGTGAGGAGAAAAACTCCTCCGTGACTACCCCTCCAATGCCCGGCTGGCTGGGCGTTCGATCAGCAGCTGAACTTCTTCGCTTGCCAGGCTGGGAACTCCCCCGCAAACCATAAACGGGCAAACGCAGTGTAAGCACCAACAGGACCTCGGACCGCGAATCCTCGCCATCTTCGAAGATGGCAAGGGCCTCACCAACAACAGGCGCAGAATGCCACTCCGCATACCCACGTGGGCTTCAAGATGCCATCGTGCCTTGTTTGCGGCACCTATCGCCTCTTGGAAGGACTTGACCTGGCAAGTGGGAGCACAGGCAAGTCAAGTCGCCGGTGCCATGGGCCCACAGGTTAGACGCCCCATGGGGGTGATTTGGGAGAGGTAGCTTAATGAGCGGGATAGAACTCTGTATATCTATGCCCGCGGGATTTGAGAGGCTCTGAAAACTCGAGTCAGAATTGCCAAGCTGATCAGCCTCCCTCTCTCTGAAACAAGCCAGGCCCTCGAAGACATAAAGCTCGCCAAGGACTAGCAGCACAGCGCCTGCCCAGATTCTGTTCGAAGCAAAATGTGTAGCAAACTCCGCATGCGGAGATGTAACCTTCAGCTGCAAGCAAAGGCTCTACACATACACATATCTATATATGTTATATATATATATATGTACACACACATATATATACAAAAAAACACATATGTATATATGGTCCCCGGATGGTTACGGAGGCCGTCACAATGACTGCTGCTTGGCGTCTTCCAGAAGAAGGCTCACACACGTTTTTGTGCTAGGGGCTACCTGTGCCAACCGGTGGCCAATTGCTATCGGATATACTCAGATGGTTAAATAGGCGTCATGTCCCCTGTAAGCCCTCTATACTCTGGATAGGGTCTGTCGGCAGCATGGACACTGTAGCAGAGAACAGCGCTCGCATTGCAACCACGGCAGAGGACATAGATGCCCCAGAGCCCAGCCCTCTCGACTTTTCAACCCTTAGCCTGACCGGCCGGCTCAACCAGGTGTCTATTTCGATGCAGGAAGTCCCCCATTTGGGCTTATCCGGGCTCGGGCCTTCCATGGGCTTGTCGCCCAGCTCCCGGTAGATCTTCAGCGCCTGTCTAGGATGATTCGCGGAAGCATGTTTGCCTCATGCCCATGTCCTCATCTAGGCACGCAAGACCCAAGAAAACCTACAGACAGGTGCAGACCATCCAAGTGTTAAGTGTTCAAGATCATCCGGGGCCCCTTGAGCTGCATGAACCGCCGAAACCTGTTTAAGCAGAAACTGCAAGATACACATCCACTTCCCGGCTTCGTAACAACAACATGTGCAACTCTCACGAAAGCTCCTTGAAACAAAGACGTTGGGGCTGGGACATGCTGAGACAGTGAAGTTGGGATGTTCCCTTCCTTAATAAGGGATTTATACTGGGGGTACTAAAATTCCTATTCAGGACTAACAGTCCGTAATAGGGGATTATAATAGAAGGTGAAGGAATCCCTAGAAAGGACTGTTAGTACAAGGGGGGACATCCCAACAGTGAAGTGCAAACACCTCGGTTGCCTCCTTGGCCTGTCGAACACCCTGGTCGCGGTCCTTAACACCTGGCGTCAGGGTTGTTTTTTGGCACCCGCATAGATGGACGAACCAGTCCGCAGGGCGTTAGGGTTTAGGGTTTGTAAACCCTAACCCTATAGGGTTTAGGGCTTGCACAGATGCACGGCTAACAGCTGCGCCGCAGGTGAAAAACAACTCTTTAACAGGAACCCCTCGACTCCGGCTCAAACTTGCCAGGAAATGATGCCACAATGTTGCTCAATGGCCACGCTTGCTGGATGCTGGGAGATGTTGTTGCTTCTTGACTGCCGGAATGCTCTCGAACTTCATAGTCTATGATACGCCTTAGCCTGTGAGCGTGCACTCGTTCAGCACAGCATAATGCGGATGAATGGGTGCCCATTCCTGCCGGTGACGAAACGCTCCTAGTACTTGGTCCGAGCATTCCACCAGAAACCTTGCCGAGACCACTCTTAAATACAACACCCCACCGCAAGTGTTGAAGCCTCTTTTGCCGCTGGTGTTCACGCGTGCCATGGCCAACAACATGGAGGCCTGCCGCCGAGCTTGAAAGTCTGGAACGTGAAATCAAGGCAGGGGTGACCGTTACACTGTCATAAACGATTGTTCGTGGCAGAACGTTAACCCAGCAAGCAAAGCTCTAAGCCTGAAGCCATCTGGGACAATGAAGGCCTCTTATATATTACTCCCCCAAATAGTAGACCCAATAGGGTACAGTACCCCTATGAGTCGGCTGATCAGAACAGCTCTGGCATCCCTTTCCGTCCGCAGACCCTTGAGCCCTAAAACTAAATTGCCCCGACGCTGCGGATTACACTTCATGAGAGAATTCCCCAAAACATCCAAAACCCAAAGCTGGAAAGTCGCCCCAGCGCCTGGCCCCGCTTGTGGCCCTGGTCCCGAAACCACACCAACTCCTCTGACGCAAGCTGCAAGGCCTCTGGGGGTGGCGAAAAGAACGGTGTTTTTTGTTGGCTTAGGCTCTTTAATACACTGGAGGGATGACCTACGCAACAGCGCGGCAGCGAACCCCCACTTATTTTTTACACGCCTCGTGGTAAACATTGGGTGTTGTGGGTATAAAAGGCTTTGGGGGCGCATATGGCTCAGATGCTTTTAAGGGTGTAAGTAGGCCATCAGTGGCTTCGACTCGCACGACTCGAGCCATGCGAGATTCAGACTTGTAGGACTTGGGCGGGTGAAAGATTTCGGGTTGAGTGCGTTGGCATGCCTGGTGCGTCGACGTGTTTGGAGTAGTGGAGTAGCGCTGCATTCGCCGCAAGATCACATGAGGGAGAAACCTCATCCCTGACAGCGTGTGCCCCGACACTATTTCCCCGTGCGTTCAAGCCATGCGAGCCCTGACTCAACAAGCCTTGTGTCAACGCAGTGCCCCATATGAAAAGCAGGGCTCAGACTGCCTCTTTCCTTCCTTCTCTGCCCCACCCTCTCCCCACTCCAGAGAGCCAAAGTCTCCTTCCATGGCCGAACCCGAGACAACATCCAACACCGAGTTCCCTGCTGCATCTGGCTTCTCCTGGCATGGAGAAATTTGGCACTGCTGTGGGGCTTGGGGGAAGTGGCGATAGGGAATTACCTGGCCACACGGCATGCTTCCCGATTTAAAGAGAGAATGTAGTTGGTATATAAACATGTGTATATGTATATATATATATATGCTGGCTTGTAGCTGAGTGTCGCCATCGTCTGTATAGGCACCTCCACCCCAAGCTCTCCAAGACACCTGCCTCCTTTTTAGCCGAATCGAGCCGCATGGCGTCAACCACGACACGTAAGGAATCGGACACCTTGGCAGCTCTCACTCAGCTCCAGGTACAGCAACCCTTTGTATGTTTCATTTGAATTTGGCAAGGCTACATAAGGCTTCTCGTCGTTACGGAAGAATTGCAACAGATAGTGACGGGAACGGCAGTCGAGAGAGCAGCAACCGCGGCGAAGTCGGAACAGTTGCAGTAGTCACAGACAAACTCACGTGGACAAACCTGGTGAGGCATAGCTAAGTAAAGTCAAGCAGAAACGCACGGGAACACTCCCAGGCCAACTCAGCTAAGGCATCGGACACCCTCAATGTCACCGAGGTCTTTGAACATCTCAAGCGCCTGCCGCCCCCGCCCCACCCCCCCCCCTCTCCCCCCCTAGAACTTATGTGTCTGTTTTGGACCTAGCCACAGCTTGGAGCCATCGCCCCTATTGCAAGGTCTTGCTATCGGTCTGCCCACGGCTTTCCAGGCACGGATTTGGCCTGCTTTCCAGCTTGAAGAGCTGCATCAAAGTCCTCCGGTTGCACAGCGCTTGGCCAGAAACGATGTGTTTGCTGGCTCCGAGTTTCCAGTCCATGTTGGGTGTCGACTCATAGCTCATGTCATGTGGCCAGCCGCTTTGTTTTATGCGCACGGCGCAAACCGCCTTATGGCACCTCTCAGCAAGAGGGAGCGTGAAACTCGTGAGAGAAAGAGAGATATATATATATATATATGTATATGTATATGTATATATGTGTTTTCTATAGTACTTGAAATAGTTTGCTTGCGTAGATCACAGCAGACGTCTTTGCTACTCAATCGCCATGGGCAATCCTCGTTGTCGTTGATGTGACCCTCTGCAACGGCAAAGAGCATGGCAGCCTGCAGCAAATGGGAATTCCACAGTAGCCGACAGAGGCCACCTCTTACAAGCAAGATCCTCAGAAAACAAAGGGGAACCATGAGTGATTGCGGAAGACTTCCCGCGGGCGCACAAAAACGCATCATGAATGAAGCTTCTCAGCGCAACTTCCATGTCAGGTGGCAAGGCCCTAACGGCCGCCTCTCTTTTCTTGGCGGATTGCTGCTCGTCATCCGCGACGGCCTGCAGCACCAAAGTATTCCAAGCACGTGCTGTCACCAAGATCGCCCCTTGCGAGTGCAGAGCAAAGATGGGCTCGAGTTGCAAACATGGTGGAAACTAAATCTGCCAGACATCCTTTCAAAAAGGTCAAGGCCGATGAGGCGCACCTTGTCAAGCATAACATATAATTAAGCAGAAATTAGGCCATACCATGCCACCCCTCCCGCGGGCCGTGTATCTCGCCGAAAGCGCGTCGGAGGTGGCCGAACCCCACGTTTTTCTTTGCTGGGCCTCGCATGGGGCATTGAAGGTCTAGACTGAGATCATCACGCGCTTGAAGGCTTTCACTCAAGAACTACTGGTCTGGCTTTGAGACGCATCTGTATAGAAAGCTGGTAATCTGCCTGCGCGTGTTCATTGATGTTGCTTATTTATTCTAGGGAACCTCGTGAAAAGCGACCTTCCTGACTGTTTACACTGGCAGACTTTTCCTACAACGGCACGTCAATGGGATTCTGCCGAGGACATCTGCTGGCAGCTTGCTCTCTGGTTTGCAGCGCCTGCCTCAAAAATCTAAACTCAGAAAAGCGCCCTTTGGAAGGCCCTTTTCAGCTCCCATAGCCTCCTGCACAACCTACAACCGTTAAACCTGCACACAGCCCCCCACCACTTCTCTGCCAACCCACAGGCCCAAACTGAAGTAACCGATACCCGCACCGACGCTTCTTTCCCCTGCCTCCTCCAGCCGGGGGTTGGGCGCCGGCTGCACCTGCATGGGCATGGGCAGCGCCTCGGGGAACGAATGTGCGTATCCGCGCACTGCTCAGAGGATGTCTAGGGAATTTTGGGAGGGTTCTGAAAGGTTTTTGCAGGGTTTCGACTCTCACACTAGCACAAGCTTTGCAGGGTTTAGGGCTGATCCTCCCTGAGCCCAAGGCCATCGTGTCCGACGAACGGCCCAGGCCCCGAGGTGTAAAACCGCCAGTTCCCCCTGAGAGCCACAAGGCCACAATGCAGGACCTGCACAGGCAATCTGGTGAAACTGGAGGCACCTCACCACTGCAAAAGGTCCACGAGCCACTAGCTGCGTAGCTGCTCTTACTTACCTGGGGGCGCCTCAGCTACAGCCAATTATGCCGATCGTACCTTGCCTTCAGTCAGCCCAGCCATGTAAGGCCGAGCCAACATCCCAAACCTCAAGCTCCCCCCCCCCCCCCCCCCTGGGAAGCAACATGATGTGCTCGAGCGATTTCTTTTTGTGTTCTATGTTCTTGTCAGAGGTCATCCAGCTCGAGGTCGGGAAATGCGCCCAGAGCTCCTCAACAGGACAACTTGCAAGGGCATGCCCGGCCGGATGGCGACGGAGAGTGGACGCCAAGCGAGCATCGCTCCAACATGAGTCTAGGTTTTCAGGCGTAGACATCCTCAGGGCTGCAGTGCAGCCGAGATGCTGTGCGTGCCCGCCGCCAGCATGAGCAGTTTCACCTCCTCCGTCATCTGCGTGCAATCCTAGCACGAGGCCGGCGAGGGGAGCACTTTTCGTATCAGCAAGCCAAGTACAAGCCCCTTCATTCATGAAATCTGTGGACATGATATCCTGTGGGAAATCATAGGCACTGACCTCAAGTGCCAAACCCAACTGCTTCCCTTAAAAAGTCAAAAAAGAAGCATTCCTTACCTTATCGATCAGTACAGCTCCCTGTTGAACCAATCAGCCAGCCTCCAGCTTGGAGTCAGTGCAGCCCTTGAAGCCAGCCTCTGGTCTCCGCGTCTTCAAGCTTCGCTTCGCACATCGTCAGCTCGGTTCAAACACATCTCGGACAATCATCGGCCCTTTCCGAAACCGTCAGGTTCTGTGAAACCAACTTCGGGACCTGGACCTAGACTGTAGCCTTCCAATTCTAGTTCCGGTCCTCCATAGCACTTCTGCATCTGGAGTTGCACAGGGCTAGCTTCTCTTTTGTTAGTTCCAAGGCTCGTCGGCTGAGGGGCATGCGCTTCCTTGGCTGACGCAGGTACATGGGCATGAGATGGTGTGAAGGATGCTTGCTGGCCTAGACTGCTCTGGCAGTGCACAAGGCACAACCCACAACGCATGTGGCGGTCAGAGCACGTCAGTAGTACTGTGCTCGAGCCAGGGTTTTTGCAAATGCGCCACCAACGACCGGAACAGCACAGCTATTCCTTGCAACTTGGCAGCCATCTGGACAGCACTGATTCCTCGGATGCCAGGCAGAAGGCACCCTAACTGACACTTCAGGGCACAGACTCTGACTCTGCGTAACTGGAAGCAAACACAATCTCAAAACCCCACTCAGACCTGAAGTCCAGAAACTAAGACCTCAGCTCGAGGGCAGTTGTTCGGCCAAGGCACCCAGCACAAGAACCCTCACCTGAGCAGCTACCCTCTTCTCTTCAGATTGAGTTTGGGCTTTGAAGATCTGTGGCGCCACTCAATGCTCGCACTCATTCACGAGCCCTCCCCAAGAACATCACGACGACCAGGATCCGGTCAGCTAGTGGCAGTATCCGACCCCCCTGTCTTTATGCTTGAATCAGCCCCACAGCTATTTCATTGCAGGCTTTGGTTCGCTCACGCATTTCGTTATCTCCTAGGCTTCGATGGTTCATTCTTGCGAGATCTTGCAAGCACAGCAACTTCAGGACCTCTGCATTGCTGCCTTGGAATGAATGAAGCTCACTATCTTGGAGGTTTTTGCTCGTCTCTTTGTTGGGGCGCTCTCATTTCTTTAGCATGATGCATGGCCTCCGGGACAGGGCACCACGCTGCCCACAGAGCATGGGGCCTGAGGCGGATCTGCATTGCTGAACTAAGAGTCGTTTATTGAGGGAAGTGGCATCCACCAAGCTCCTGCAGCTTGTCTCGAAGGATCGGACATCTTTTTTCCTTGTCTTTACAGCCCCGAAGGGTCCGAGCATTCACAAAGGCGTTTGGTGCAAAAGGTGGGGGGCAGCCTCTCCGCCCCCCCCTCGGCGCAGCCACTTGTTTGTGATGAAAGCAAGAGACTGGTTGTTGTTGCTGCTCGGACCCTCGGGGAAACACCTTGGTAGCGGTTTTCGACGTAAACTCACGAAGAGAAAGACTGAGCTCATCGTGACGCCTGCTAGATCCTTAAAAACCCTCGGCACCTCAACCGTGGAGCGGAAACATCTTGACGACACTTATAGCCCCAATCCCCCAATAGCACAGGCGCCTACATCGCATATACTTGTGTCGAAAATACTATACAAGTACACGGACCTTGAAGGGACCAGAAAGCCATACCGACTCCGCTTACCACGGCGGGGCAAAACACATGGTGGGCGTGCATAAAACAACCAGCACGTCCCATAGATTCAGCTCTTGCATCGCATGCCCAGTACAAAAGCAAATCCCGAAGCAGCTCGTGCTGAATTCGTTTACATTGTCAGATTGGCGATGGCAAGACTATGTTGTCTCGGTATGTTGGCATGCATGGGTTCAGAAAACTGACGCAAAGGGAGGTCTCTACCTTTGCCAGCACATGCCGGCACATAACAGCACTTTGGCCTTCGCCATGCCGGTTCAACTCTAAGTGCTTTACTCAGACTTCTGTGGCTAGATTCGCAAAGGCACATTGCTTCGCTCGATGGAACGACCTCGAGCCTGTCATTGGCGCTTTTTCTCCAAAAAAGCAAGCGAATTCTGGCCACACTCGCCAAGCTTCTGCTGCGGAGGCCCAGCCCAAGAGGGTCCCACGCGCTGAGAGTATTGTTATTTCTTTGGCCTTGCAATTGGCATACTGGAAATAAAACCCACTATGCAAACTATGTACACATACTCCGCCAGATGGCACTCTACTGGGATATCCGAAGATAGAAAGCCCGAAAAGGACAACGCAATCCATCCAGGCTAGATTTTGCAGAGGGGCGTCCTGGTACTCCGCAATCTTATCACCCCTATAAGGCTTGCACGGCCTGCAGATAATTCTTGACATCGGCATGGATCCACTCACGGGCAACTTGCAATTTACAACCGCCCATGTTCCTTCACAGGTCAAGTCTGTGAATGCAAAAAGGTCGGATTTACGCCGCAAAGCTTCGACTCAGTAGTGAAATCACGATGCTTGGACCAGGGGCTCTGTGACAGTGTGGATGCCAGCGTTGGGAGTTCTGTCGTGGTCCACTGGCAGGTCGTTCAACTACTACTTCAGCAACTTCACGCCCCTTCGCTCGCAATCACACGCCAAATGGCGAATCCGCATAATCTTGAAATGCAAATGCAACCACTCCTCCCTATGCCATTGCCTCGGCCTGAAGGCAGGGGCGTGCTTGAAAGGCCTCTCTTTCACTACAAGTGCCGAAGACAGGTCTTAAGCATCCCAAAGTATGTGGGATGGTACTTTCAAACGCCCCTGAGCTGGCATTGAAAAGGTGAAGAGGCTCACATGGAGCAAGCGCCGCGCGTTGGGGGATCTGCTTGAGGAGCTGAAGGCTCGGGCTGGGTAATTATTTCTAGGGCTCACTGCAACTCCTCGCCCACTCTGGCAAATCAAAGGAATTGGGAACCTTGGCACCTTTCTTATAGGTTTTTGGAACTTAGATGCGAGTTTAAGGTAGCTACGCGAGCTACGTCGCACGGCCCATTCTCCGAGTTTCCTCCGGCAGCGGTGATGGTCCACAAAAACCATGGATGCACGAACGAATCACACAACAGCGCAATTG